GCTCCCGTGAGCGAGTGTCTGCATAGCAGCTGAGGAAGTGTGCCAGAACAGTTGCCTCATACCCCTGCAGTGATTCTTGTGCTCAGCTTCTTGTGAAGGATGCCCGAGTCTTTCGGGACAGGAGACCTGCACCTGGTTCTCCCAGTGGTGTGGGGGGCATCTGGCTCCTCTTGACCCAGCAGAGCTCAGGGAAGAGCTTGGAGGACAAAGGCGTCAGACGCATCTTGCTGTCCCTATTTTTCCATTATCCGGTGAAACAAATGCCGTATTCAAGTCTCACAGTGCCCAGCACTTGTACGCAGTGCTGCATTCCATACATCAGCCGTGCCTGTCACTGGCCCTGCTTGGGATGCGTGCTGGAACAGGCAGGGCGAACCCTGGCTCTCCCCAGAGCAAAGACTTTTTGATGTATTCACGTGTGTCTGTAACACTGGACTTCTCCTCCCCCTGGATCAAGCCCTGACCGACTTGCCCCTTGCGCTGTTCTCCTAGCCACGGTGAGAAAAACAATTCCTGATGTGCTGCCTGACACAGGGGCTGCTTATCAAAGCGCAGAACTAGGCAAGATCTGTGAACTCACCAGAAGCTTCCCTGCTCTGTCTGTTTGTTAAGGTGCTGGACTAGTGCAGCTCTGGGAGACAGAAGTAGTTTGCATGGGCACTGCTAGAAGCGTCTGAGGCTTGAATTATTGCCTAAATTTAGGCTGTGTCCAGGTGGTGTCTTAAACCTACCTGGGAGCAGGTAATGCAGTAACTTATTCTGTGAGGCTCCATTTCCAGCAGCAGCCAGTGCCAAGTACCTCCCCAGAGGGAGGAGGAGAGGTGTGAAGCTCTCCTGATGTTCCCAGGTTACGTCTGTGATGGTTCCTCAGGCTGCTAGGCCTGGGGTTCTGGGGTTTGTCTCTGCTGCAGCGATGCTTGGGCAGGTCCAGCTGCACTGTCCTGCGTGTTAAAGCAAGGGGACGTGAGCTCTGCGTGGGGCGAAATACCTTGAAGTTGCATGCTAGTTGAACAGCAAACGAACTCTGTACTGCCTGGGTGTTTGTGAATTATTGAACTTATTCTGAGGGTGTCCAGGCAAAATCAGGACTTCCAGTCCTGCTTTGCTGCAGCAGCAGTGTCTGCTTCCTTCAAAGGTCACAGGATTATTGAGATTAAGTGGCTTCCTACCCTTAGAAGAATGGTTGCGCATCTTGCGCGTGAAGTTTGCTGCAGAAATGCACGTAGGGGCAAACTCATTGATGGCTAGATGAGATAGGGATGTTTTCTTGTATGGTTTGAACACTGTTATGGGGAAGGAAATGGAAAAGAGTGCTGAGATGTTGCGTACCAAGCCTTTCCTCTACTCTCCAGCCCCACTATCCTGACTCTTGTAGCTATTGGATTTCTCCCGAGCAGGCTGCTGTCAGGGCATGGGGAAGGTATGTGTTTACCCTGAACATCAGCCAGGATCTTGATTGAGCAGAGCTCCTTGTAGCAAATGAAACGACGTTCCAGTCTCGGCAGTGGAGGAAGGCAGCTGCCTTAACCTCCCTCTTGGTGTGTAGGACACTGCCTCTTTCAGAGGAGCAGAATGCCTCGAGAAACCAAGGCTTTGACCAGTGACCATGCTGTGGGCTTTCAGTTGCCAGTTTTTTAATAAAAGCAATGGTGTGTGATGGTAAGATAGATATAATGATTTTGACTTCCCTTCCTCCCAGTTCTCATGCAGTATCCTAATACTGAAAAGGACAGAGGGTTGATTTGTGCTGAACTTGTCTCTTGACTTCATGGCTCATCAGTCTGTCCTAGAGGTAGTATCGGGAAAAATGTAAGGTTCAATATTTTCCTGTATGTGTACCGTCCTCACCTCAGGCTAGAGGGACTGGTGCCATTACTGCGCTGCGTATTGCTGTAGAGATGAGTAAGTTGGACTGAGCCTCTACAAAAAAAGCCAGGGGCAATAGAAGTCTGAGAGAGCACCAAAGTCCTTAAATGACTTTTTGTGGGTTAACCCCATCTTCCAACAGCAGACCATTCTACTGGAACAATAATGCACTGTTCTGATGTGCTTCTGCAATTCTCGTAACAGCTTTGGGTAGAGGCTTCTGAGACGCCATCAGATGCCCCTGGGTAGTGTGAGGAGCAAAGTTCCCGTGTCGGCGAGCGCTGCTAAGTGCGAGCGTGCTGCGAGGCGTGGAGGCCTCAATGAGTAAGTTAGCAAACGTGTCTTGAACAGTGATGATCTCGGGAGCCATGCCATGTAGGTCTGGCCATTGGGAGCCTTCAACCGTTGCTGCTGTTAACTACAAGTTTCTGAGGCTTGTTCCTTTGGGTTGTATATTTAACGTCAACCTTCAGGCCTCCTCCAAGAGATGGGAGGTGCTGAGCTGCTCTTTGTAGCTCTGCTCTCGCCTCCTGCTTTGTAGCGGTGGCTGTTGTGGGCCTGGCAGCGTGCAGAGGCAGCACACCCTACCTCCAGGACTCTGGCTTTCTGGAAGTGTAAGATAAATTGGAACCGGTTTGTCTACTTTAATTTTGGAATCTACATTTGTTGAGAAGTGCCCTGGCTGAAGTAAGGTGAGCTGGAAACCAGGGTGTCATCACAACTTGTGCATCTGTATTGGCAGGAGGCTGGCTATGCTGTGAGGCAAGCTGGCTATTCCCCCCTGTGCCCATGACAGGCTCCTGGCCGAGCACGAGCAAGTTATTTGCCTCTTTGCTTTAGTTTCCCTTCCCCACAGCCAGCATTGCCCGATGTTTGAAGCTAGTGCTGTGTGATGAGTGAAGGTGGGTCCAGTTTGCTGACTCAGTGTGAACCTGCTTGCTGTTCTAATGAGCAATCAAATAGACAATACAGCACCTGAACCTGGTTTCCTCAAATATCCCTGAGCCCTTGTGCTGGTGTGCTTTCTGCCCCAGCTGCATCATCCTGCCTCAAACTTCTCTACCTGAAGGGTGGGGAGGCTGTGCTGTGCTCTGTCCTGTGGGGCACTGGGGGTGTAGGGCTGTCACCCTTAATGACTTCTGCTGCATCACAAAATAATGTGTTTTGGTCAGGCCTCCCCTCGGGGAAGGCTCTGCCCCGGTGAGCCCAGAGGCTGGGTGATCACGGGGGAACCCTCCTCGCTGGCGATGTGTCCTGCGCCCGAGCCGCGGGGCCGTGCTGAGCTGCACCCGGGGACGGGCGCTCAGACCCAGCTCCTGGCTGAGCCCCATCCGAGCGCAAGGGCAGCGAGAGTGGCTGTGGAACAGGGCTTAGAGAAACCACAGGGCAGTTAATTTATAACTGGGGTGCTTCGTGTGAGCTGGGAGCCAGCGACTGGTGGCCCTGTGCTGAGGAGCGTGGCGAGCTCGCAGCGTCTTGTCTGCCGTTCTGCCAGCCGCGAGCCGAGCGGCGAGCCTGTGGGTGCAGCCCCCGGGGGGGACCGAGCTGAAGTGGGAGAGCATGAAGGATGGCCCTCTCACAGCGAGTGCTTTCTGAAGGGTCAGCGAGCAGCTTAGTTCTTTGCTCATCTGGCAAGCAGCCTGTAAGGAGGGTGTGCTGCTCCACACAGAGCTGCTTACAGGTCTGTTTTATAAATGGGCTGGCTGGATCTCTGCCTTAACAGGGGTGTTTGGCTGGCCTAAGCCAGGTGTCTTGTTCCTGCTTCTGGGTACATTTTGTGCATCCTGCTAAATCCAAGGAGATTTTTTTTTTTTTTTTCCTTTTGCAAAAGGGGAGGGAGATCCAAGTTACTTCTGGGGTTTGAAGTAAACCCTGCTAGGCAAGAGAAGAGTGTGTGAGAGGAACTGTCTGCAGCTCACTCAGCTCAGGTAGCAGCTGCTTTGACTCTTCTCAGCTCAGGGAAGGCAGAGCAGTGAAACCTGCCCCTGCTTTGGAAGTTCCTCTTCGTACGCTCCGTTGCAGGGAAGGCTTTTCTGCCCCCTGTGCGCACCCTGACTTCAGAGCTTAGCTGGCCTAGTTCACCGCTGCTTTCTTCCAGGGTACTTCTGTACTGCTGTGGAAATTAAGTAGCTTGTTGTCTTGGTTTCAGCTGGGATAGAGTTAATTTTCTCCCTAGTAGCTGGTACAGTGCTGTGTTTTGGATTTAGTGTGAGCATAGTGCTGATAACAGGCTGATGTTTTAGTTGTTGCTAAGTAGCACTTATCCTAAGTTAAGGGTTTTTCAGTTTCCCATGCTCTGCCAGCAAGCAGGTGCACGAGGAACTGGAAGGGAGCACGGCCAGGAGAGCTGAGCCCCACTAGCCAAAGGGCTACTTGATACCATAGGACATCGTGGCCAGTATATAAACTTGGGGGAGGGTTGGCTGTGAGAGGTGGATCACTGCTTGGGCATCAGTCAGCTGATGGTGAGCAATTGTGTTGTGTATCACTTGTCTTTTCTTGGGCTTTATTTCTTTCCCGTTTTGTCATATTCCTTTTCATCACTATTATTTTTATTTTGGCTATTAAATTGTTCTTATCTCAACCTGTGAGTTTTGGGGTTTTTTTGATTCTCCTCCCCATGTCACTGGGAGGAGTGAGTGAGCAACTGTGTGGTGCTTAGTTGCTGGCTGGGGTTAAACCACAACACACTTTCTTCCTCCTGACTGAAGAAGTGCTTCCCTTTCCAGTTACTCTGCTCAGAGCCTAACACTGGATGAGATATTTGGTAGCACCAGTGGAAGGCAGCTCGCTTGCTTGCTATTTCAGTGCAGATCACTGACGTGGAGGTCTCTGATCATCTTCAGCCAGGAGCCATCCTGAAGTGGGAAGCCTAATGCAGGCTGCTCGCCGTGTTGTAGGTCTCCGCCAAGGTTAATATTTCCTGAACTGCGTGTTAGTGTTGAGGTTCACCTCAGGTAGCTGAGCTGAACAAGCCAGACTGCTTCCCTGAAAGTGCCCAGCAGCTGCCCCTCACTGCCCTGTGTGCTAGAGCAGCTCAGAGGGTCCTTGCTAGATGGCTCAGCATTTCCTACCCATCCCTTTGCAAGGGCAGCTTCCCTCTAAAACCCATCTCTAATTTTGCCTTTCAGATAGTCTGATCGCCAGCACTGACCAGAAATGCCATCAGCTATGGAGGGTTCAGAGGGGGGAGAAGGGGAAATGTTGCGCTATGAGGAAACAGAAGATGACAATGTCAGGTGAGTCCTGTCTCAGAACATGGCACAGACACAATCTTGGGCAAGGCAGGAGACCTTCCAGGTACAGGAGTGATCTTTTTCCTCATCTGAAAAGAAGCAAGGGACTCCCATAAGTGATTAATCAAATATATGTGCAGTAAATTCTTTTTAATCGAACGGTACTAGAAGGGATGGGAAGGAGCAATCTGGCTAAGGCTGAAAACAAGTGGTTGTTTTTCTAGTCTCTACTATCAGACTGGCATTTCAGAAATGCTTTGACCATTTGACAGTTGTGTTTGTGCCTTCGTGGCCAAGGTGAGCCAGTTTTCCATGGCTTGCTGGGCAGCCTTGTGACAGCAGCTTCTTGTTTTGAAAGGTGACTCTAGGGGTGAACTCTGCTCCAGAGTTCTTTTGCCTTTGCAGAATTCCCACTGGTCTAGGCAAGAATATTTTCTTGGAGGTTAGTTTAAAAAGCACATTCACACACGCACTCTAAAAGCCAAGGCTTCAAGCTTGGAAAATGGGAAGGGGGAATAGGGTGCTTCCCAGAATATACCTAGATAGGCTGGTTGGCTTCTCTTTGACTCGACAGGCTCAGTTTCTTGAGATGCTAATGCTGCGTGGCTCTCCGGCACATGCAGGCCTTGTGTAGCTGCAGTGTTCAGTCGCTCGGTGGGCCTGGAGTGTTCAAAGTCTGTCTCTTACAGCTAACACGAACACGGTATCTGTAGCAAATTCGTCATAAAAACTGTAAGGTGCACTTTGGCATAATTTTGGATGAGTATAGGTGTTAATAACTTTATTCCAAACTCCAGGTAGGTGCAGTGGCAGTAATCTAAAATTTGTATTATTTTTTTAGAAAGCCAACTTGTAGAAACCTGAAAAAACAGTGTAATTCAGGATAAATAAACTTTTTCAGGGTGTTCTTACCCTATTTTGCCATTCGGCTCTCATCTCTTCTCCAACAGTTGACACCCAGGCCCTGCCTGTATATGCACCTGCTCTTACCTGAGCCTTTCTGCTTCCCCAGAGTGACCACAGAGGGTAGACCAAGGCTCCTGTGCCTTCAACCTGCCCCAGCAGTTGCTCTTTCTATGCTCAAGGCCTCCTTTTATAGTATTGTTCAGGCTCACATGGATGAGAAGCAAAAGGAACGGTGCAGGGATCAGAGGATCCTTGGCAATTGCTTCAGCATCCTGGGTCTGAGCCCCCGTGAAGCCCAGAATGGCAAAGTCTGGTTGGCCCACAGGCACCCACATCTGCAGAAGGTGCCTCTGGCTGCTGCCACCCTGCTGCTTCCTCCTGGGGGTGCCAGTTCCAGCCTGTGGGGCTGGCCCGATGGATCCCACCTTGTACCCTCTCCAAACTGAGATGGTAGGGAGTGGAGGGGGATCCCTCCAAACACAGCAGGGACAAACTCATTCCTGTGTGTGGAAGTGGGGTGAAAGGAGCTCTCCCCATTTGCCTGCAGCCCCACCGACCTTTCAGAGCTGCTGAAGGAGGGGACTAAGGAATCCCACGACCGTGCGGAGAACACTCAGTTTGTCAAAGACTTCCTGAAAGGACGGATCAAGAAGGAGCTCTTCAAGGTGAGTGCTGCCCTGCTGCTGCGGCGGAGGAGCTCTCTGACAGAGCCAGTGACTGATGCGGGCTCTGAGGCAGAGCCCTGCAGCTCTGTGTGTAGGGGATGGGGGGAATCTGGACCGAAGAGTCAAAACTACAGGAGGGCACTTGCCTGGTGTGTCCTACAGGTGGGACCCAGCGGGGTGAGCAGCGTGCTGGCCCAGCACAAATTAGCTTAGGTGGGCTTCTGGCCACTCGGGGCAGGTGCAGCTGCAGCACAGATACTGGTTAGGAGTGGATTCCTGGTGGGATTACAGCACTTATTCCATCCTCTGGCAACTGTTTTCCATGGACTTCAGGTTGGTTTACAGAGCACGCAGCTGGCAACATGAGACTCATTCTTCGCTCGCGCTCTGTAGGCTGTGTCATTAGGAACGGAGGTAGAGAAGAGCCTCTGTCAAGCCTGGGCGTTTCCTCCTTGTTTACCCCAACTCCATGCAGGGTGGGGGAGTAGTCACAGGGTGTGATGTGCCGATCTAGCGAATGGCTTCTCACATTAGCTGTGCTTTGTCTGTAGCTGGCCACCGTGGCACTTTACTTCACTTACTCGGCCCTGGAAGAGGAAATGGATCGCAACAAGGACAACCCAGTCTTTGCTCCTCTGTATTTCCCCCTAGAGCTTCACCGGAGAGAAGCGTTGGTCAAAGACCTGAAATATTTCTATGGAGAAGACTGGAAGGAGAAGATCCAGTGTTCAGAGGCAACTCAGCACTATGTGGACAGAATCCATCATGTGGGACAGCACGAGCCAGAGCTGCTAGTGGCTCACGCTTATACACGCTACATGGGGGACCTCTCAGGTGGCCAAGTGCTGAAGAAGGTAGCCCAGAGGGCCCTGAAGTTGCCCAGTACTGAGGAAGGAATCCAATTCTACGTGTTTGACAACGTTTCCAATGCGCAGCAGTTCAAGCAGCTCTACAGAGCGAGGATGAACGCTCTGGACTTGGACAAGAACACCAAGGAACGGGTTGTGGAAGAGGCCAACCAAGCCTTCAGATTTAACATGCAGGTACTGAATCCCTTGAGCCCCTGTATGAGTAGGTGCTGCTGCGTGTGGGTCTGGACCAACTCTTAGGCCCAGGTTAATTCAGTCAGACTGCTCACCCAGGCAGCAGTTTGGGGGTCTGAGACTGCCAGAGCCCCTCCTTTTCCGGCCGGGGGCCGGGATTCTGGTTTGAATAGTTCTTCCACTCGTGCCTGGAGACATGGCTGGTGTTGGGCAGGAATTCCTCCCACACTCCACCACCGCAGCCGGGGCCTTGATTAGGGCAAAATTAAGATGACTTCACTACAAGATTCCCATGGGCTGTGTGGCTCTGAGGCGGTGGGGGGAGCAAAGCTCTCACTCCGAGACAGCCTCAAACAGTTTGAGCATATTGCACGACACTGGTTACCATTCACCTCCTGTCTCCTGTCTGACATGTTGCCCAATGGCCAAAAATGCTGGTGGCCTCTTGTTCCTTCCCATAGAATTTGCCTTTCATAAAACCTGACTGAGCTGCCACTTGCCCCAGGGGAATGAACGTAGTCTTAGGTACTGCATGGAAGCTTTAGTCTGTGCCTGTAGCAGGCCGGTGTGGTTGAAGCCGTCCAGAAAGGTGGTGGGATGGGCTTGGCTGCTTAGGGAAACCCCTGGCAGCAGGGCTGGGGGGCTGCCCGAGCGCCCAGTGAACGGCAGAGAGGGTCTGCAGCAGGGAGGGCGAGCGCCTTGCCTCGCGGACCCGCCTGCAGCAGGCTGGGAGGCCGACTGGGAGATGCTGTGTCTGTCTTGGTGCTCCTGGAACGGGCTGCGCCTTCTCGCGTGTGCCAGGTGTCACCAGGGGAATCGGCAGCACTTCGGGGGGAGGGGGGCGGCAGCGCCCCTTGCCCGTTCTGCGGGTCCGCTCCAGGGGTCTGCGTGAAACCTGCCTGGCTCTGCCTGCTTCACGCACTCGCCGTGCCCCCTTGCAGGTGTTTGATGAACTGGACGAGATTGGCAGGTCGCTGACAGAAGAAGCCCAAGACGGAGGTTTCCCAGCCCACAACGGAAAAGGAGACCTGCGCAAATGCCCTTACTATGCAGACAAACTAGGTAGGTCGTGGGCAAGGACAGAGCTGCCGCGCGCGCCTGCGGCGCGAGACCGGCAGCGCTAACGGTGCTTTCTGTGTTCAGCAGGCAAGGCAGCAGCCGGCTGCCCCTGCCACGCCGCCGTGGCCCTGGCGAAGCAGCCCCTCGTGCGGCTGATCCTGGCGGCCTGCGTGGCCGTGGCAGCGGGAGCTGCCGCCTGGTACAGCATGTGATGGGGAGAGCGGCGCGCGGCTCCGAGCGGCGGCAGGGGAGAGGCGCGCGCCCCCTCCTTTCTCAAACTTGTTCCCTTGCTGTTGGTGGTGAGTTGACTGTGGGGTGAAAGTTAAGAAAATAAAGGGGAATCCTGCGGGATTGTCAAAGACTCTTTGCCCGCCAGTAATGCAAGCACTGTAATGGAATGTCTTTAGCTGACTAGTGTACAGGACTGAGCGGGTGTGAGGATCCCGCTCCAGCACTGCCCTACCCGGGCTGGGGCAGCTTTCAAGGCGAGAGATGTCTTGTCCTGTACTGGCACAGGCTTCACGAGCTTGGCTTTTCATCTCCTTTCTGGGAGCAGGCGCTGGAGGGAGTTTCCTGCCCTGGGCTGCAACCTGACAATGCGTCATCAGCCCTTTCAGTGAAGAGCTTTTGGTTTCCTACCCTGAGAAACTGATGTTTCAGTCGTGTGGCAGTGGCTGCGCCATGGAGCCGTGAGCTCAGTGTCCTGCTTGGTGCTGTGCCCCAGGGACTGAGTCTTAACGGGTGTTGGAGGAAGCTCCCGGCGGGTGGGGACAGGAACCTGTCTGTGGGTGGGGGTATGAAGGGGATGAATGTATCCTGCAAAACTGGGGGTGTGGGTTGTCTTTTTTTTTTTTTTTTTTTTTTTTCCTCTGAAGACCTGACTGGAATAAAAAGTTGCAAGGCTGTAGCTGGGGAAAGCCAAGAGTCCATGGCTGGGAGAGTGAGTGAACTGTGCCATGAGGTGTGGGGCGGTGCGGGGGAGGCGGAAGCCTGGGGAGGCGGTTAATGGGGAGCAGGGGAGTGGGTGCAGCCTCCCACACTGGTGTACTGGTCTCTGTGACTCATGTACTCCCTGAGACACTCCTGCCCTTACATTCTACTGTGCCCCAGCTCCTGGGGGGAGGGAACCCACCCCCAAAGGGCCCAGGCAGGTCCTGGGGGGGCCTGGGGCTTTTCTGGGGTGAGGGGGCTCCTGCTCTGCTGGGAAGATGCTCCAGGTCACACTCTCTGCTTTCCGGCCCTGGGCTGGGTGACATAGGCAACCCCTGGCCTTCCTCCCAGCCCAGTCTGGGGGGGCTTTTCTCCTCTTCAGCTGAGGCAGGGGCAGGGAAAGCTCCCGTTAACCCCCAGGGCCTCTGCTGCCCTGGGCTGGGGTAAGAAAGCTGCTGCTCTTCCTCCAGTGCCCAGCCCCAGCCCTGCCATCCCTCCTCATCCTCAGCGGGGCAGATCTGCTGTTGCTTTGGAGCAGGTGAGAAGAAAAGATGTGCGTGAGTTCAGGGTCTGTTATTTATTTACATAAAAACACTGACTAGTGCCACAGTTCCACCTCTGAGCAAACAGCAGCTGCCCGTGCAGGCCAGGCTGTGTGTGCAGCCTCCTGCTGAGAGACCCCCCCGGCTCCCCTCGGGGTCTGCCCGGCCCAGCGGCGCTGGCTGCGGCCGGACACGGCCCAGCCAGAAGCTGCAACTGGCTCCCAGGTCCTCTGGCCCTCGTGGGTCACGGTGCTGCTGGCAGCTCCTGTCACTGCCCCCTTCCTTCTGCCCTACAGCCCGGGAGCTAAAAATAAACCCCAACACCCCCACGCAAGGAGGAAGCCCAGAGGGTGCAGCCGCGGCGGTGGCAGGACGGGCGCTGCAGCGGGAGGGCAGGGGCTGCTCTGGAGCTGGAGCCGGGTAACAAACGCCTCATCTACAGCGTCGGGGCAGGCAGCCACGTGCCAGATGCATTTTTTGCCAACAGTTTGCCAGGTGGGTGAGGAAGGGCCAAGGGTTTGGGGTTTTTGGGTTTTGTTTTTTCCCTTTGCTGAAAGAGCCACAGCAGGGGCCGGGAGGAGGCGCATGCAGCCGGAGCGGCCGCTCTGGCAGGACGGAGGTGCTGATGGAGGGTGCGGGGCTGCTGCCCCGTGCCACGACGACGGCTCTGCCAGTGCTGCGCAGCAGGAAGGGGCTTTGCTGAAACCTGGCACGGGTGGCACCACCCTCTGGCTCCTGCCGTCAAGCCCCTTCCTAAAAGTGCCACAAGGGTGGTGCTGTCTCCGCTGTGGGTTGCTCGGGTCCCCCCCCTTCCCCTCCTGGGCAGCACCTGCCCCCCAGCCTGCCGCAGCTCCCCAGGGGTGGGGACAGCACATCACTGTGGGCGCCTCCAGCAGCTGCTGCTCTTCCCCGGGTTGCTCCGGGCTAGAGGGGCTGCGCAAGCGCCCTGCAGCGTAAGGGGGTGCAGAGGGATCCACCCACACCTCAGCCTCGGGGGCCTGGGCCCGCTTCCCCTGCGCACCCGCACCAGCATCGCCCTGCCAACCCTTCACAGCGAGGAGCGGAGCTGGGGGAAGGTGGGAGGGAGCCGGGGTCACACACATACACACCACCGGCGGGTGAAGCGAAGGAGCGTTGCACACGCAGAGACTAGGAGGGCGGCGGCGGGAGAGGGGCCGGTGTCAGTGCAGCGGCTCGGGCTCGCGGGGCGCCGTTAGCACATGCGCTTGTAGGTGTAGATATAGGCCTTGCAGTTGGGACACGTGTGGGTCACATCCTTGAAGTCATCAAACAGGCAGGGGATCAGGCAGCAGCAGAGATCACACCTGGAGCAGAGGGAGAGGCAGAGCGCGGTGAGCTCGGGCACCCCCCGAGGCAGCCGGTGGGCACAGAGTGGGGTGCGCTCTGGGGCAGGGGCACGAGCAGGGAGTTCGTGACACACACACACACCCCCCAGCCACTGCTGCGTGGGGCAGCACGAAGCCCCCCTGGCAGCTCGCGGAGGGGAGGGAGCTCCCACCAAGCCTCACGCAGGCGGCGAGGCCGGACCTGCCTCCCCCGCCGGGCAGGGGGCTGGGACAAGCACCCCATCCCCTGCCACAGCCCCCGCCGCTGCCAGCCCTTGGCCGTGAGGAGAGGCCGTGGCTCTCAGGGTGGGGGGAATGGACTGCACCCACGCTGATGCCAGGTTCTACAAGAGCCCTTTGGAGGTGGCACCTTCCCCTTCCCTGGCGGAAGCCCAGCTCTCCAGGAGCTGTCACATCTGCTGCCTCAGTGACAGCTCAGTGCTGAGGCTGCCGCTGAGGCCACCAGCGTCGGGGCCACCAGGACCAGGCCTGAGTGACCACCACCACCCCCGAGGCCCCAGCTTTGCTTGCAGCACCTACCCCACGAAGCAGCAGAAGAAGCCAAGGAGGAAGCTCATGAGCCCGATCTCGTAGGTGATCTTGGTGGTGATGGCTTGCTGGCAGTGGGGACACACTGTCTGCACGGGGGCACCCTGGAAGATCTCACCCTGCAGCACCGTCACCGTGGTGGCAGCCCCCGACGGGACGAGCACCGTCGCTGTGTGGCCCCCAGGGGAGGGGTAGTGGCTCGGAGCAGGGTAGTAGCCCATGGGGGGGTGAGGGCCTGGGGGCGGGTAGTAACCTGCTAGGAACAAGAAACGGGCACAGGTGAACGTCTTCGTGTGCAGAAGGAAAAGCCAGATCCTTACCGGGGAGGGGAGGGGAGTGCACCCTGCTCCAGGCTGCCCCCCACCCCGAGCAGCCTCGCTGCAAGGCCCGAATGGCAGCCCCCAGCACCCCACCCAGCCACCCACCCCGGGGCACTGGGAGACACATGCATGGGGGGGGGGGTGTCACGGCCCATCACCACCCTTTGCTCCGTGCAGCCCCCCCCTCACAGTACTCACCAGGTGGCACGTAGGGCCCGGAGCTGTCTGTGGGCATGTGGGGGGGGACGAACCCCGGCTGCGAGGGTGGCTCATATGGGGGGGGCCCAAATTCAGGAGGGGGGATGGGAACCCCCTGGGGCTGGCCCACGACTGGGGCAACGCCATCTGAAAGGAAACACGGAGTCAGGCAGCAGAGCTGGTGGGGAGATGGTGACTTGGCTGAGTGGTCTGGAGGTTGGCCCCAGTAGGAAAGCGGGGGATGCAACACGGGGTGGGGGGCACACACACCCCCCCCAGGCCACATCCTCTGGGCTACAAGAAGCCCAAATTCACCCCACTTTATCCCCAGCAGGGCGCAGAGCCAGGCTCTAAGCAGGGAGTGCTTTCTGCTCCCGTCACTTCCCCTGGCACCTCCTGCCACCCCCGAGGGTGATACAGTGACAGATGGAGCTGGGGGGGCATCGCGCCGCAGGGCAGAGCTGCGGGGAGAGGCCACGGCCGGGGCTCCTGCCCCCCAGCAATGTCACCCGGAGCAACTGGGACCCCCAGTACCTGCCGCAGGGGGTGGGCCGTGCTTCTCTTCTATCAGCGGTGCCGAGGGGCCGCCCGGGTAGGGTGGCGGCGGGTCGTTGGACATGGCTCAGGGCGGCCCTGCAAGGACAGAAGCCTTTAGAAGAGCACCCGGGCTGCACACAGGCGCCCGCCCGGAGCTGCGCGGTGCTCGGGGCGGGCGGTGGCAGCTCACAGAGGGCTCCGGGGCTGGTCCCACCGCTGCACCGGCCTCAGCACCCACCCCGGGCAGAAACAAGGCCACAGCCCCAAAGCTGGATGGGCTTCGACCCAGGCAGCAAAACCAGGGTGTAACATCTTCCTGCCGGCCCCGCAGGGCCCCCTCCCGTAACGCCCACGCGTGGTGCACAGCAGCTCAGCGGTGCGGCTCTCGGCGGCGTGGGCCGCCTGCCGGGGCAGCGCTGGGATAGAAGCTGCTCTGCCGAGCGCCTCGGCTGCAGCGTTACGGTGCCAAAGGTGGGGACGAGCTGCCCGCGTTGCCCACAGCTCCCCAGCTCCCCCCAGCAGAGTGACACGAGACGCTGCGCCCCGAGGGGATGGCAGGACCCCGAGCCTGAAGCACAAACCCTGAGGCAGAGGGGTACAAACGCTCAGGGTATCTCTAAATGTTCTCGAGTGAAGGTGCAAACCCACAGAGCATCTAAATATTCTCGAGTGAGTTAAGGTAAGACCATCTTTAATAGCTGGAGACAATATTTTAGATCGGGTAAAATTTACCTGTCCTCTTCCTTGCACCAAGGAGCTCAGAGGGCTCGACAGAGCTGAGAAAAACAATTCTTGGCAGCAGCGTAGTTTGGAAGCCGGTTTACCCCACGAACCTGCATGAAAGGAGACAGCAAGCGAGTTACAGAGATGGAGAGGAGCCACTGCTACAGCGCTGCCTTGGCCACCATGCCAAAGCCCCTCCTCGCCCCAGCACAGGCGTGGGGAGCGCGGCTCTGGGCAGGAACCTCCCCACGTGTGCCCCTGCGATGGCAGGCACCAGGCTACACGTCCTCGGCACATGGAAAAGCCCCACCGACACGCTCTGAACTCCAAGGAAGCGCAATGACATCAGGAAACCTGATTTCCCTGTTTACTCTGGCTCAGTTATATCTGGTAGGACATGACTAAATTGGGAAATACAAATGAGAGGCTGTTCACTCGGTGCTTGGGAAGGCTGCCATCAGGCATGGGACACAGTGACATTGCTGCCAGTGCCCAGGGAGCAGCCCTAGGAGCTCTGAGCAGCTGCCCAAACCCCCCATCCTTCGTCCCCAGTGGGCCAGGAGCAAACGTGACCCTGCTTGTCCTGTTCCGCTCGGTCTCCTGCTCTCCTCGAGGCAGGCCAGCGTGCTGTGAGGGCAGTGCTTTCCCAGCTGGTCCCACAGGTCCCCCTCCAGCAGCTTCTGACTGAGCAAGAAAAACCCACCCAGGCTACAATCAGCCCACAAAAATCCCATGGGCACAACCAGGGCAGCTCTGGACCCCAAAAGCTGGCCAAAGAAAGCACTGCTGCCACATTGCCCGCACCAAGGCATGACCAGCAAGGCTTCCCTGCAGCCCTGGTGAGGCACAAACCACCTGCTCAGCCCCAGAGAGCTCGGGGCCGAGGGCTGCCGGAGCAGGGTTTGAGATGGGCAGCACCCCGCTGGGGTCACTCCTTAGGGAGGGAGAGGCAGCGAGGGTCCCCCTGGCCCCGGCACCGATGCCACGTGCTGGGCAACCTGCCCAGGGCACGGGCCAAGCCTCCACAGGCAGCGGCCGGGCAGCGAGTGCCGCCCCAGCCCCGCCGCATCGCTGGCGTGCCCGGAGGGGTGCCTGTGGGGCATCAGCCACCTCCATCTGCAGCTGCCGGGTCAAGCGAAGCCAAGGCCTCGGCAAGCACGGGAAGGAAGATCCAGCCCTCCCCTGACCTGCTTGGCTCTGCTTTATTCCACTCCCCGTTTTCCTAGCTCGCACTCCCTGCCTCCCATCAGCCTCCTGCGAGGTGCCAGGAAATCTACTCAGGTCACAAGTCCGCGGCGGAGCACCACGACCCATCGCTTGACTGTGGAGCAGCACCAACACCCGTTGCTGACCCCCAAAGCAGCAGAGCAAAGCCCTGACAGGCGTAGGGTCACCCCAGGACGTCCGCATTTCTCCCCAGAGGTCTGAAGTGGTAAGTACACACAGCTTCAAAGTGTAGTGCTGGGGGTGATCTTCCTCCTGCTCCTCTCTCCAATGTCTTACTTAAGAGCCAGGGGAAGGAGAGCCGGCCCGTGCAGCGGGTACGGCAGAGCTGCTGCGGCACGGAGCGCTTCCAGGCAGAGGAAAGCAGCCGAAGTGCAGTGCGCTGCAGAGCCCTCCTTCTCCTTCAGTGACCTACAAAGCTACAAATTGGGCCGTGCTCTTTTTAGCTTCACTGGGGATGCGAAGAAAAGGAGGCCTTATTCTTCTGAAAGTAGCCAACCAACCCACCCTGCGCACCCAGGAGCCTCGGACTTTCCTGTCCCCGTGCCTGCAGGGCTCCTGGATGAGCCCAGCCCAACCAGAGCATCCCTGAGTCCTTACCTGGAGACACCGGCCTGCCAGGAACCTTCCTTGCCCTCGCAGCCCAGCTGAGCCCACAGCTGTTCTAATGTAACAGATCTCCTCCCGTTAGCGCTCAGACGCTGCCTTCCCATAACATAACATCTTTCAACACTCACCAGCCTTACTCCCCCTGTCATCAAAGCAGCTGGTGAGAAAACTCAGGAGACCAAGAGGCCAATCCCACCCACGTGCTCCACCAGCCACTCCAGAAACACCCATCAGATGAAGCAACAGCCCCAGACTGAGCCAGCAATTAATCCGGCCAGCTTGACCAGCAGAAGAAGGCAACGGCCAGCGGACCTCAGAGCCACGCGTGCAACTGGGATGAAGGAAGCAGCAGAACTGTTCTGCTCATACTTGGCAGACTCAGTCACTCTTAAAGCAATATTCTGCTTATTAAGAGAGATCTATAAAGAGCAAGACGTTGGCAGTGTGCCCTTCCCAGGAGGAAAAGAAAGCCTGTTGCTTTTAAGCCTCTTAGAAGCTGTTTCTCCTGTGCTTTCTTTTATCTTAATGCGAGAAGCACAAAACCCGCCCCAGCCCATATCCGCCAGAGCGCTCCGCGGGGAGCTGGGGGGCACACAGCTTCCCCTCCACGCTGGGACAGCTGGATGGGAGCTACCCCAGCTTGTCACTCACCACCCTGGCATGGATGATCCTGCAGTATTGCCTCTCCAAAGCAACGCAGCCAAAGCAAAGCAACCCAGATCCTCCCCCTCGTCTGCCCACAGCAGCGCAGGGAGGCAACCTTGCTCTCAGGAGCTAGCTAGCAGCACCCCTGCAAAGAGGCCGAGTTTCCCCGAGCAGCATCCCCCCCACCGCGGGCGAGAGGGGAGCCTGGAGAGTGCCCTCCTGGGAGAGGGTGGGTTGGTGGTATGTGGGCAGACAGGTGAGCTGGGAAGATCTAGCCACTAGACAAAACCACAGAAGCATTCTGCATCAAAACACGATCCCCAGAAGCACATAACAAGGACTCCTGCTGCTGGTCATTGCTGGGTTTACTCACTAGCTTTTGGTGAAGCTGACTTACTTTGCTCCTTCTGTCTTGCAGAAGAGAAACGAGACTTCTCCTGCCCACGGCGCCGCCACAGAGACAGGGACGCGGAGCGCGGCGGCAGCTCACCGCAGAGGTGTCGCGGCACGCAGAGCCCGGAGAGCCCTGCCCAGGGATGACACCCCTGGCAGGCTGCGCTTCGCCCCAGGACCTCCAGCCACCCATGCCAGCACACTACGAAGCTGTCCCACGTTAACCATGCCGGCTTACTAAAGCTGAGCCACCAGTGCACTTCTGTGGCACGAAAACAGCTTAGACAAAACTAGCTGGTCTCATGTGGGAAGAAATGCTGGCAAAGCCTGCAGAAGTTGCATCCACACTAGGGCTTACTTGAATAACCACGCTTATAAATCAGCTGAACACCTAGGGGAAAACAAAAGCTTACAAATAATTTGGACCAAGTTTACCAGGCTTAAGTTCAAGATCTGATGGAATCACTAATGTCTAGTGCAGGTCCTTTGGGAGCAAGGACACACTGCAAAATCATTAGACTCAAAAGGAGTCGGTTACCAGTAGAAGGATGGACAGAGGAGATGCTATTTCCAGCTAAAAGTGCAGATCAGTTCTCAACTGGAAGAACAGCTTTCACTGCCTCTTCTTTAACCTAACTGCAAAAAGTGAACCCACCACACAATAGTCGCAAACACTGCTCCCGTTAAACACAGGAGACAAGCAAAGGGCCCCCACGGGCTGGCAGCATGACAAACCAAGCAGAACAAGGATCAGAGGACAGAGGGGGCCCATCCCTCTTTCCCTCTCTGGAGATAACACCCCAAAACTTCTCTTCAGGTGCCAGCGGTGTGCTGGCTGTCCTGCTCCTGCTATTCCCTTGGGAAGCCTGTTCCAGGCCCCCCACTGCTCTGACGGCCTGACAGTTTCTAGTTTATTTGTAGCCAGTCTTGTGCCCGAACAGCTTTCTTTCACTCCCCTGCTTGCTGCAAACAGCCATCATACCCTGACTCAGACTTTGTTTTGCTAGGCTGAACGCACGGCGTTCTGGCGGGGTATTTCTGCACTGTGTGTGCCGTGCAGGACCGTTACCTCCCTTCTGTCTAGATCGGCAACCTGAAGCCGTGCTCGGCTGTGGCAACGGCATCGCCCACGCTGGCACGCTCTCCGGCGCGTGCTGCTGCAGCCTGGATGGGACAGCAAGCCGTGGCTGGTCTTGCTGCTCCAGCAAGCTTCACCTGCCCTGCAGCACTGACTGCACGGGCACACCCGGCCACCCTTCGTCCTCCCCTACCATCTCGCTGCTTGTGGCCATTATGGGTGGCTTGGATTCCGTGGGGACACGAGGGACTAAACCACAGCTGCACGGGAGCCTACGCGCAGGCTAGGCTGGAGATTTGCTGAAGAAAACAAAAGAGCAAAGATCCAGATTGCCACCGCTCCCACTAGCCCTGCTGGGGCACAGCGGTGTGACAGACACAACCAGGAGAGCACGTCTCCATTGCAGCCACAAAGGCAGAAAGGGCTTGGCCCACCCTGGCTGTGGCTTCAATCTGTGTGTCCTCCCCTAGAGCTGGCTCTGTGCTCCCTGGTCGACCCAAAGTCCCACTCCAGGCAGCTTTTGGGTCAGGAGAAGAACAAACCTGTGGCAGCACGTCTCTCGACTGACCGCCCCCCAGATCAGGGCATCACTCCCAGCTTCAAGAAGTCTGGTCTGAGGTTTCTCTACAGCAGTGAGCACAGCCAAAGAGCCAGTGGGGCAGCACGCAGCCCTGCGTGTGGAAGCACAAAGCTTTCTCACCCGCCTCCTTCCTGTGCTCAGCAACCCCAGCTCTAGTTAATCAGGGATCGATACCCCAAAGCCCACAGTTCCCATTACTGACACATCCAACACTGGTGCCCACGAAGCCCTCCCAGCTGCTTACAGCAGCAATGAGAGGAGCCGATGTGTTAGGGTCCAGTGTTCCCCCCCTGGCTGTACTTCCCTCCGCTACGTCACACAGGATCACTGCGGAGACAGTTTGGGATTCAAACGTGGCAAGAGGAAAGGTCTGCCCATCCAACCACACGTCAAAAACAACTGAACTGTGGCGTTCAGTGGGACCAGGGAACATCACACCACCTGAACAGGTCCTAGCGTATCATATGCTAACACACCATAAAATAGATAACACCACGAAGAGCACAGTCACAGATAATTCCTGCACTGCTTGGAGACCCAAAGTCAATGCCATTCCTCCCAGGCAGCAGCCGTGTGCACTTCAAGCTGCTTGCTCCTGGATGAAATCACCAAGGGAGAGACAACCCTGAGAAGGACAGACCGGATCGCTGGCAAGCCTAACTCACGTGCAAACCCTGATGGTGCAGCACTGGCCCTGTGCAGCTCTGAGTCAGCCTCGCTGCGCAGCTGAGCTCTGCTCCCACGAGCAGAAACACCGTGTGCGTTGTCCTGGCTCCTCCTGCATTTGATAACTGGAGACCCACGGTGATTTGACTTTGTTTGGCCTATGTGAGCAGTGGCTCCTGCCTCTAAGACGGGAAGCAGCGTTTGGTCATACCCAAACACGCTCAGTGATGTTGGCACTTCAAAAGCTGCTACTGCACGTTTTTGGAGCTCTTCCTCCATAAAGAAATAACTTCCGATATTTAGAAAAGGAAAAAACACACTAAAATTAAATTAATAACTAAGAGAAAAGGACACAACCACTTCCAGGTTCGTTGCACATCAAACAAGACAAAAATTTCAGCTTCCAGGCTTTTGTAAACACATCTTTAAAAGCAAAGTCAAGAGTTCCAAAGAAGCTGGGCTCCCTTACTGTGGCCAACCTCCTTCCTTTTAAAAAAGGAACAGCATTGTGGCTAACACTACGCCAGCTTTCCAGGCCCCAGGAAAGCTACCTGTGTGCCATAGGCTCCTACGTGCCCCAGAAAGAAGGAAATACTGACACTAGGAAGGCAGACAAGTGTGCTGTGTATGAGCACAAAAGGCAGAGCAGATGCTGGCAAAATGTGATTTGACCAAAAGCCTGTTACCCTTTAGAATGCCGTTAGGGGTAGCGAGACTGAACCAAGCAGGGTGGGATGAGAGGTGGACAGAGCCATACGCTGACCGTGGCAGTCACGATTGCCCTCCTCCACACCGGTATTGCTGAGCAGCCTCTCCAAAGCCCAGCCTGGGCCTGCTCTGCAGTGTGTTCTCTGCGTTGCACCTGCACCACAGAGCAAGCCCGGGATGCTGCCCTCTCCACACGCATGCTCTCTCGCATGCTCGCACACAGCTTGCAGGGATGTGGCTCAGCTCCCACTGCTCCCAAAAGCGTCACATGCAATTCAAAACAGACAGCTCTTACCTTGAAACGAAAGATAGCAAAAATCCCCGCTGAAAAAGCAGTATTAGCTGTTATTTCTGCCTGGGTTTTATGCAGAACAAAAAGAAAACCAACTGTTTTGCCTGTGAAGGAGCCAAACTTCCCCCTCAGCCTTGCGTCTTCCCGTGCACATTTGCTGCCTCCAGCCTGCACACCATCTCCCCAGAGCCAGGAGGGAAAGAATAAACATCAGACAGTGCTGCAGCCTCTTTTAGAAAGAAGATGCCCTGGCAATCCTTGACCAGGTGGCACGTACCCCCTCCTTTACTCCGCTGTTAACCCTAGCAGCACCTCTTCAACTCATCATCCTGGTCCTGGGCAAGACAGCAAGAGGGCGCATGCCTACAGCACACTTGCGCAAGGCACAGATGGAAACCCAAGTTAAGAACTAAGGAAAAGGTCTGTTCTTTTTTCTGAGCGACTCAGCTTCATTTCCCCAAGCGCAAGCCCTGCGCCTCCAGCGCCGCTGCCAGGGAGCGCAAACCCACCGTGCAGGAACAGCCAGGCTGCTTGCAGAGCAGCAGATTTCTCCCACACTTTTGCAGTCAGATTTCAGCTGCAGAAAACTGCTACTGCCAGGAGGACCGGGCTCTTTCTTTGCTGCAGGAGTGGAGAGCTCTGCTGGCAAAGCAGAGCAGAAGCAGTCCTTTAAAACAAAGGACTGCTGGAGGAGAAGGTTATTCACCATTCAGTGCAGCTACGTCAGACGGCCAAAGCTCCCCGCTCTGCTCTACAGTATGCGAATCTCTGGAGGAGCATCCCCATTGCAGTCATTTACCTTGAGACCCCAGACATGTCATCTGGCCTCCTCTGTGCCACTGTAACCCAGCAGGCAAATCAGCTAAGAGCAGAATCCTCGCTGGAAGCCAGGTGCTGTGTCCAATGCAAGATTTCTCAGGGCTTTAAATCCAAAGCACAGTCAGCTAATCTGCACGACACAGCCCAGGCTCAGCTGTCCTCAGCCAGAGATTCAAATTACTGCTTCACACAGCTCCTCTGTATGGATATCAGGAAAACCGGACACAAAATCCCCCTGCTTAAGACAAGGATGGTTTATCCCCAACACCCACAAAGGGTTACGCGCGGGAGGAGCGCTTCTCAGGACCTGCTGCTGCCTCTGGGATTCTCTCCAGTGCTATTCCACTCCAGATGGGCTGACCAAGTGCTTGTTGGCTCTCCACATCCGGGCTGCAGAAGCAGCATTGCCAGGTTAACCTGAACATTTAAAGAAAAACCAGCCGAAATGAAAAGAATAAATCGGGGTAGCTCTTTGCTCTCTGCCATGAGCTCCCAAGCCGCAGCACACAGCCGCGGGAAGCACCACGCGTCTGCAGAGCTCGCCGTGCCGGCAGTGACATCCAACACAAGCCAAGAGGGGCTTCAAGGAGGCCTGGGAGGTTCCAGCGAGGAGAGGCCATTACCCCACACTTCAAAACTGAACCTCAGCCCTTACACATTTAGGGGCACCGGGGAAGGCTCAGGCGTGCACTCTGGAGCACCAGGGCAGCTGAACTCAGACAAAAGATGGTTTGCTGAACATGGAGCAAACACAGAGAACAGTGCAGCCAGGCTGCTGCTGGCCCTGGAAAACACACTCCCTCCCACTCCGGAGGTGCTTACTGGTCAGACTTTACCAGCTGGTGACCTGGCCTCAGGAGAGAAGACAGACTACAATACGCCAGGTGTTCTCATGGATGTAAAGATGCGATTTAAAAGAAACATTAAAGATGAACCCGAGTTCCTCTCCACCTTAGCAATCTGCTCCAGAGAGGCTTAGGTGAGAAAAGGAGGGTGCTGCAAGCCAAATCTCTGGGGAGCCAGAGAGCTTTTCTGTGAGGCTCTCGGTGAAGTTCACAAACTGCCCAAACTAATGCTTTGTAAGATCCATGGGAAAGCACCCAGCAATATCAGCAGCTGTTGCCTGGAGTTCTGTGCATCTACTTAATCTTCCCCCTGAGAGGATAAATGCTGCATTACATCATCTATTTGATATCTAGTTAATAATGTTAATAACATAACCTGCAACAATCTAGAGCAACTAAAACCAAGATCTACTCCAGTACTAGTGTTTTAACATAACACCAAACTTAACTGTGCCACAAGACTAACTGTTCATTTAAAGAAGCAAACAAAAAAACCCCAGCTCAAGAAGCTTAACAGCCAGCAGAAGTCCCAGAGGAGATCAGGCAGGAGCTCTGCAGCTTCTCGCGTTAAAGACAGTCACAGCTCTGCAGCTCACCTCTGATGGCAGCCCGTAACAGATGCTTAAGGACAAGTCAGGAGGCAAGCAAAGGCAGAATGACCCCCCTGTCAGTCCCTCCCAGGGTTTTAGAGATTAGGCAGCCTGGAGTTTCTCCATGGACCACCCTAGTTCCTTTACAGCCCCCCAACTCACCGAGCTCTGCCACCGACAGCAGTGGCAAGTTCTGCTCTTCAGTTACCCACATGAAAAAGTGTCTCCTGCTGTCACAGGCTGCTGCCTGCCCATTTCAGTGGCACCTCTCGGCTCTCACACAGAGAAGATGAATACAGGATGATTACCCACTACGTCTCACAGCACAACTCAGGATTTTATAGATTTCCTTCCCAAAACTACACTAAAAATATTTTATTCCTTTATGCACCCCATTTTTTCATTACTCCCTCATTCTACAGAATTTTTTTGAGAGAAAGTCAAATAATATAGCTACATCATTGCTGAATCAAACTGATTAGATGTATGACTTCCATTAAATAACACAGTAAGCTCCAAAGGAGGAGGAAATTAGAATCATAGGGGATCAGCACTTTTGTGGAGATGAAGCCACATTTCAGTTTCAGAATTAATCAGAGCCCAAGAGCCTATTCAGAACTCCCTTGCAGATTCTGCAACACAATAAAATAATTTTGAATACATTGGTGGTGATTCCAGATCCATTTTCCTTCCAAGTGATGTACAAAACATATGTCACGGATCTGATGGTTTTTTATCCAAGGCATCTCACCAGCTTGCTATAGGACTGACTCCAGTCTCCAACAACATTAGCATTTTCTATCCTCACAGATACCCCTGCCTTGGTGCCAGAGAAGCTGCTGACATTTAGATTTAACAGGTACAGTGTCACCTTGCTTTTTTTTTCTTCTGAGGACTAGTGAGAAGTGCTCTATGTCACTCAATTTCATTTAAGGCCACGGCTCACTCTTTGCAAAGAAGCGTGGCTTGGGGTTAAGCAGGAGTGTGTATGTGAGGTCTGAGATCTCTCCCGAGTCCCACTGCCAACAAGGAGGACCCATGCACATCCAGAGTCGTGCACTGGAGGAACTCCTCCGTGCTGAGGCCGCTCATGTTATCACACTCACCTTCTTGCTCCCACAGCGTGACCAGACCTTCCTGTTTCCAGACTGGGACCTCTCTCAGGGTGGCCCAGAGTGTGGGGCTTGCTCGTCCCATGGCAGTGTGACAGGAGGAGGGTACCCTGCACCCCCCTGCTCCCAAGCCCAGCTCATCTGGGCTACTCAAAGACAGATGATGATGTCCCAGCTCACAGAAGGGGAAACCCCCTGGGTTAATCAACAGCCACTGAGTGTGCCCGGTGCTGGGTTGTCTCCAGCAGCACTGCGGTGGTTCAGAGGGAGCTCTGGGATGCACCCCTGAGTTACACACAGCTCCTGCCAGTCCCATTTCTCCCTCCAGTTCCAGCCAGACTTGGCTAGTCTGCAGTGACTTCCCAGTCGAGGGAAGTCATTTTTACTCCAAAGCATTTTGTGACTTTGGTTTCAGTTTGCAGCACCAAATTCCTGCCAACTCCTTCGTAACCCCTTCCCCAAAACTCTTGCTATCTGCTGAACAAAGCCACGTAACAAGCTGCTATGTATCTGTCCCTCAGATCAGCCAAAAGCTGCTTCCCCATGAGCCTGATATGCCACTACTGCTTGCTTGGAGGCAACGTGCAGCAGTCATCCAGGGGTAACAACAAAGACATGCAAGGCCACATCGTTAGCCTGGCAGATCTGACAAGAACTTTGACCAAGACACAAATCAGCTAGCCAAGTTCAGTAAGATCTTCAGTTGGGCCCACAGAGCTGTATTCCCTTTGAAAGCAAGGGTGAAGGAAGAGATATGATGTCTTCCTACCTCTCCAGGCACCAGTTTTGGAATGAGTGGGACATCACCTGGATATGAGCCGCACCAACTCCAGAACTGCAAAGCAAGCGGAAGACCTCTCGCTGAAAATCTAGCCACAGCAGCTGGATTCAAAGCAACGCACCTCCTCAAATCCCCGTTCTAAGCTTTTCTAAACCCTTTCTCTGTCTCTCTGTCAAGGCAACACCTCACTGCTTTACTGCTAAATTAACAGTAAAGCTGGTCAGAGGGTTTTGGAACAGTCCTAAGGTTGGGTCACTGCTCTCACAGCAGGGGATAAGACTGGTGAAAATTCAAGCACATAATACCAAGATGCCCTCAGGACAGGTAAATACCTCAGCTGCTCTGGCGGATTCAGGACTGAAATCCTCTCCTGAGCCTGATGAAGACAGAGCAGCTCCCACAGCTACACCACTGAACAAGCTGGGAACTGTTATTTCTCTCACCAGAATAGCCCAGCAGCCAGCTCAAAACCGAGCTCCCACCGCGCTAATGCATCCTGAATCACGGCACCCAAGAGGGAGTCTTAAAGGCTAAAATAACACCACCTGTAGCTCAGAGCCACAAACCTCCATTCCCAAAACACAAATATGATCCAGATGACATCTCTCTGGAAGACCTACAACAAGCCCAGGGGAAGAGCTGATATTTAATGGCAATGAAAGTGGCCTCAAGGCCCAGCTTCACCCTCTTGCTCAAAGACTACGTTAAGATTTTGGAAGAGCTGAAATGGACACAGCAGAGCAGGTGGGAAGAACAAGCTGAGCCTTCAGCATATATCCACGCCTCCTGCGAGCACTTTCTTCTGTACCATAAAGCAGAATAAAGGCATTAAGTTAATTAGAAGACAAACTGAACACAACTTTAAGAAAAGGGCAGGACGCACACACTAGCAGCAGCTATTTATCCAATGGTCAGTTAAAACACAAGCCCAAAGGAGACAGCAGCAGCATGGAAATCCCATCGTGACAGCCCTCCTCCACTCTGTGTTCCAGTCCTTGTCTTCCCCTTCAACACAAGGCTCCAACGGTCCCCTTCTGCCACACACTGGGTAACTGGGACCCCTGAGGACCTCAAAAGCATCCCAGGTTGGGGAGTCACTGCAGCAGGGGTACAGTGTTGGCTTTAGTCCATGATTTCCTCCCAAAATGAAGCTGCAGTGAACCCCAGGAGTTCCTTTCCCTCTCTTGAAAGGGTGGCCTGCTTCTTATTTGGAGAAATAATCAATAAAATTCAACAGGCTGGTTTTCATTCATCACCAGCCAGAAATCTAATCTCAAGTTAACACCACTACCCCGAACACAGCTATCACATCTATCATTTAAGTTATCTGCTGCGGGTACTAGCGTGCGTGGATTT